CAGAATTCACACTTTGAAGGCTTAACAGCTGAGGGGTGCTGGAAACACTCTGTCAAAAACAGCTGAAGGGAAAAGGTGTCTCTTTTATGATGGCTATAGCTTGGTGTTAAGTCATACCAGAAATTTAGCGGCAGGTCACTGAGTTATCTTCATAGAATTTCCAGGTCAACTCAAAGCAGCTGAGGAACATTATGTTTTAGAGTAATTTTTATTCCCGAATCAAAAATGATTTTTTCATTTTAACCAAAAATGCTATTTACTGTAACTAGTGACTACCATGTCATTATCACTACTCTTGTGACAATGGTCTGTCACATAGTTGCACGTACTGTGGGTGGTCATGAGCCGGAACACCCCCAACATTTCAACCAAAACCTTGTATGGATTATACCTGCTGAAGTATAATACCAGTGGTGTTACCCGTTTTAGTGTCTATTATAGTTTTGGTCTTCACACTGGCAGTAACCTATGGTAGAGTACAATTTTGACATACTATTTGTGCTCTGGAATATGGTTTGAGATGCAGCCATTGTCAGGACAGGAGGCAAAGCAAACTTTAAGAACTTTATCCATGCATTGATGCAGAGACAGTGAGTATCCATGTGGAAGCTGCTGGAGACTAAAGTGTCATATGCTCAATCATATCTATCTGAAGACCAGAGTTTTATCACAAAAGGCAAAAAAAGAGAGAAAGTTATCTCTAATTTAGGCTTTGACAATGACAAAAAAAGCGAAAAACATGCGACACTGTCAGCTGTGCAAATGAAATTGTATGACATCATGACATCTTATGAATGCCCCCAATAAATTTCATAAGTAAGCGCCTATGGTCAATCACCCAGCAGTGGTCCTATGGTGGCCTCTTTCTATTGATGAATGGGTAGAGGGGGGCTCAGTGAATTATTGTACATCTACAAAGTATATTATGGATACTTTGACTATGTGCATAGTACATATTTCCAGGAAGTTTATTCCAGTAGTCTTACTATTTTTTGTATTGTCATTGGGTCAACCTCCTCCTTATCCTTGATCTGCCTTGATGGTATGAAGTGCTTATCCCTGACAAGAGAACAAACTGGGCAGACGCTAGCCAATGATATAAAATGATAACCAGTATTTTTACAATAATTTTGTTTAGTTTTTATTTTATTAAAATTGTTCTATACTTTTGAAACTAGTTATTTGTACATTTGTTTATATGTTTGTAATCAGTTTATATTGATCTTTGAGCTGCTGTTATGCATGCTATACATTTGCAATGTAAGAAATGAATAAATTGTGGCGTTTTTTTGCGAATATTGCTAACAAAACAGGTGTGTCAAAGAGCCAAAAAACATTATTTTCTAATAATATTTGGACATTCATTCATTCATTCATTCATTCATTCATTCATTCATTCATTCATTCATTTATCTTCAGTAACTGCTTTATTCCCTCCAAGATGAAAAGTGACTGCTGTATATGTCTGTATACATGAGCTGGCTGGCACCTTTGATTGACCAGTAGATCAGCAGAAATGAACCTTTAACAAACGAAATAGTCTTTAGTTAGTTAGTTATGGATATGGTAATTTGTTATACAGATGGAAGCTTGAAATGAAGAGATGAAATGGGCTAGTAAAACTTCCTATCATACTTAAAAAAAAAAAAGAATGTTAGTATTTAAATTCATAGGGATATATAAATAAAGATACATCATAATTTTAACAGAATGGGAAGTAAAAAAAAATTATCCTATAGTCCAGTCTATAGCCATATTTTGTGTATTTTTACATATGTATGTAGTTATGGTGTTATATTTGTGCCAAATCCCTGTGTCCACGAGGGGATATTTTGAGAGCACAAGGTAATTTTTTGAAAGTGCATAAACCTCATTTTGCAAAAAAATTAATTTTATTTTCTCTTTTTAAATGTAAATCAAGTTAGTGCTCAATGAGAGAATTAAGACCTTGTACTGTTTCCTATTCTGTCATAAACAGTAGGCATGTGGTGCTGTATTACTGGTAAAAGATGACTCAGCTTCTCTCTTCTCTCAGCTGCTCCACTGGCAACCAGCAAAGGAACCTAAAAGTCTTAATAAATAGCTGTTCCACGTGATGTTTTGATAGGGCTGCTACAATGGTTTATGAAAGTAAAACATCACTAATGTGCCAAAAAAAAAAAATTCTAAATTGATATGCAATAGGAATAGCAGATGTTTCATCTCACCTCGCACTGATCAAATCCCTGTTGTGAAGCAACTTGGGCTTTACAGTGACACACACACATACACACACACACACTCATCGTCAGCAACAGATTTATCAGTGGCACAGTAAAACTGAAATCTATCCACGGAACACCAGGGGATCAAATGGGATGCCAGTCTATAGCATGACGCTGTTCACACACATTCACACACTCATTGACAACTTGGGGCAATTTACTGACATGGAAATTGGGAGGAAACTGGAGAACCTGGAGGAAACCCACACAGACATGGGGAGAACATGAAACACTCCACAAAAAACCCAAGCTCAGGATTGAACCTGCTATACACACACACACACAGCTCCCTGATTACAAGGATTTTCAGCTTGCTACCTGGGATGCTGTGTCTCACTGTTATGAAAGTATGTTCCTAATGTTAAACTTTGCACCACTGAGCAAACACTAACATGAAATACACTGTTCTTAACATGTCAGAACTTATATAAAATGATTTAAGCAATAACAATAACCTTGTTAGAACTTAGAAATAGCTAGCATCCTAGTTGATATTTGCTTACATTGATAGCAATGTATAATAATAATAATAATAATAATAATAATAATAATAATAATAATAATAATAAAACTATAATTATTAAAGGTTAACCTTTCTTTGGAGCTGCTGAGCCTCATTGTTCAGGCTGAGGTCAATTTCAGTTCATCTGTTTCTGTTAGTGCAGTATAGTGTGCTAAAATTTTTCTTGCAGAATTCAGTCTCTAAGCAAATAACACTGCAAACTAGTCCAGTGGTTCTCAAAGTGGGATCCGGGGACCTCCAGGGCTCAATAAAGCATAGTCATGGGGCCTGTGAATTTTTATATATATTTTTGTTACAGTAGTAGAAAACACAATCCACCATTATAAAAAAAGTTATTGTTGTACACATTTAAGTGTTAAATACATTTTTTTATAGTTGGATTATGTTAATAAAGCTGTACTGAACAGGTCTGTGGAATATATTTTACAGTCCATGCTCTTCATACCAGTCCAATAGGTGGAGGTATTTTACCACTGACTTACCAAACTCCTCGCTGCATTTCAGCTTTTCTTCATTCACTATTCCTTATCTAATTTATACTACATCATTTAAATTACCATTCCCTTGATTTATTTTTCCACATTTCATTTACACCTCTCTAAAATGTGTCCTTGAATTCGGTGAAGCAAACGGTCACAAAACTCCTCAAAATGCCACACAAGGAGTTGTGGGCAATATTAGCTGAAAAAAGCTGTTTCTCAATTCCAAGAACGCAAAGAATGGACTTGTGTTCTTGTGAAGATCAGTCTTGCCAGGCTACCTTGGAAGAACGAACTCAGAAGGACACGAGGACATAGGACGCATCTTTGTGAGAACTGAGATGTGCTGCGATCTTGCTGTTGCACAATGGACCGTCCGAGCACATTTCTAGTAGTGGGACAGGAACAGTTAATAATGGACCATAAATTCAACACTGCAACATTCATAAAACGACAAACATAACATTATTTACATTATTATCATTATTATTTACATTTATTTTACATTATTTTATATCTTTTTCGTTAAAGGCATATATGTGTGTAAATAAATATGTATATTTAATGCTGCAAATGCTTTGTCAATATAAAGATTTTTTGTACTATGCCAATAAAACTACTGGCTCTCTCTATGTATTTATTACTTTATTAAAATTATACCAAACAAATGTTTACTTTCACACACCGTCTCTTGCAGCGGGAAACTCTTGATGGAGAGCAAGACAAGATGCTGCAGAGTTGTTTTGCCGCAATGACTTCTGGGACTTCAAGCAGGTTCGGTGTGCTCAAGTCTGCATCCGATGCATCCTCGGTATCAAGAACACATCCGGGTAATTTCATGTGTCCTTGCGTACTTGTGTTCTTGAGTATTGGATCTGAACGTCTGCGGTGGATGACGTAGGAGGAGTACACAAGGACACAAGATCGCATAACAATGCATATCCACCTTTTTCCCGAGAAACCAATGAGCACCGGGATGATGGATTCTAACTTCCGCTGTACTGTTGTCCTGTTCCTGTCTCTACTGGAACCCTTATTAAATCTGGCTAAAGAGAGTGACTGTATTAATTAAACAGAAACTTTTTGAGTGTTAGTGAGAATAAAAATGACTAATGGCTACCACAACAACAGCAATAACCTGAAGAAATTACTGGAGAATACTTGTTTTGAGCACCCGACTGTCTCTATCACTCTGCTTTCTCTCTACATTACCCAAGCTGCATGTTGAGCCTGGCTGTGTTTTTGACTGGGCTCTACCTCTGCTTTCAAAAAAATACAGTCGCCATGTTTCCTGTAGTTTCCTGTTTCCATGTGCAGTTAATTGTATGCTTCTGTGCTTTTGTAATTTCGGAGTTCTTTGCCATCAACGTCTTCAGAGAAAACGAAGTAGTTAATAGATCAGTGTAGCTAACCTCAGTCCATAGCTTCATGTCATCTATCCAGTCATTAAACTTTGACGGGTGAGGCACTGTCGTCACAAAGACGGTCATTGTGACACTGTAAAATGTCGGCACTATTGAGCTGTGTGCTTTTGTTCAGCTAAGTTTAACATCAAGAAACATACGCTAATTTGACTATAAACACCAGAGACCGGAAATGTGAAACAGATTTCTGGTATGAGCCAGACGAGACTTCCGCATTCAGGAAAAAGGTGGATTGAGAAAAGCTGTGTCCGAAACCGCTCTCTATCTCCTATATAGTGCATTATATTACATTATTATTAATATGTGATAGGGCAGTGGTACCTCAGTGGTTTAGGCTTTGGATTACTGCTCAGAAGGTCAGGAGTTCAAGCCCCAGCACTGCCAAGCTGCCACTGTTGGGCCCTTGAGCAAGGCCCTTAACCCTCTCTGCTCCAGGGGCGCTGTATCATGGCTGACCCTGCGCTCTGACCCCAGCTTCCTAACAAGCTGGAATATGTGAAGAAAAAGAATTTCACTGTTCTGTAAGGTATATGTGACAAATAAAGGCTGCTTCTGCTTCTTCTTCTATATCGGGTGTCGGCCATTTTGTAGTGGCGTCAACTTCATTCCTTACATTCGTTCACTCGTTTATACCCACAATGCACTCTGATTTTGAGTGGACATCCAACGCACCATTTCACATATTCCAACGCGAGACGGTGATAGAGCACAAACGCAGACGGCAACACCGGAGGCGGCCACTTTCACAAATCTAAATGTGTAAGATATTTTGATACAGATTGATGGATTGGCACAGTAAATATTTTCAGCCACTTACTAGAATCCACGGATCCACACTTCGATTTGGGACACACTCATTCTCATCTCGGATACTATTTAGGACGGATAGAAGGTGAATTGAGACGCAGAAGAACGAGCCTGCACTCCAGAGCAGTGGGTGGCAGTAATGCACATAAAGCCGTTTGCTAACCGCCGTTGAAAAAACAAAAAGAAGGAGAAAGAGAGGAAGAAGGACGACGCTGACGAGTTTTTAGTGTAAACATGACAGTGGCGAAAAGCTAAAGATGACATGAGTACAGTACGTATGGCACTGCTAAATGAATCTGCTTATTAATATATATGTATAAGAACAACTTTGCATAAAACAACAAACTCTTATTTGTTGTCTTATAGCTAGTTATCTAACTAGCAGTTCTCTTTATTTTTTGTTTTATTAAGCAGATACTGTTTAAACAGGGTCAGGTAGCTAACATTACCTAGCTACTTTACAGTGAGACAGTGGGGTTAGAGTCCATGAAAGGACATGGGCTTAGTATTTTTTTTCTTTATAGATTTTGGTGTTGCTAAAGTAATCAAGGTCCTCCAGAAAATAGGACATGTTTATCTGAGATTAAGTTATTAATCTGAGTGAAGGCTCTCAATGTAGGAGTCATTTCGGAAATTTTTTTAACCACTAAAATATTTTAAGGGTTTTTATCATTACCAAAACTGACATTATGTTCTGTCCTTCTTTGAGCAAAAATAAATAAATAGATAGATAGATAGATAGATAGATAGATAGCAGTTTAGGTAGAAGCTCGGAGAAGGATATAGAGATGGTTCATGAATGAATAGTATGTTTATATGTGTGATTAGGCTTTGAAAAAAGCTGAATACACTCCTGGGGGGGATCTTTTAATGGTCTTAACAACAAATCATTGGTCAGGAAATGAGCAAGAATGAAACAAATAGATAAAGGAAGTTAGTATGGGAAGCTTTTCCCTTTTCTTTAAATGTTTAAGCCTTGTGGCTCTTGATGGGCTGCATCAGGTGTGGCAGATAACCACATAATGACTAATCTTCTAAGAAAAAAACAAAAAATCCCTGAAGATATTTTTGGAAAATTTTGTACACCCAGTCAGACATGTGTTAGTTTGAATTTTACATCAAACATTTTAATCACTAGCATGATTATACCTTTGCATACAAGAAGATTATATAAGTGAATTTCCCTGTTTCTAGCTTTTCCCCAAACTAAGAGTTCACTGCAGCAAAAGGAAACCAGCAAATGGAGACACAGGAGCGCATTTGTTTTTTGTTGTTGTTCCTCTTTCGGCTGCTCCCGTTAGGGGTCGCCACAGTGGATCGTTGGTCGGCGTATTTGATTTGGCACAGTTTTTACGTCGGATGCCCTTCCTGACACAACCCTTCCCAATTTTATCCAGGCTTGGGACCGGCACTGAGAGCGCACTGTTGCACACAACCCTAGTGGCTGGGGTTGGTTCCCTGGCCGGGAGTCGAACCCGAGCCACAGCGGTGAGACCACTGTGGCCTAACCACTAGTCCTCCAGGGACCTCAGGAGTGCATTTGTTTAATTCGTGCTAATTTTTTTGACTAATGATTTGTTGTCAAGATTCATTAACAGCTTAATATTTGCCATTTTGGGTCTGGCTCTTTTTTTTTTTTTTTTTTTTTTTTTGGCCCCAGAGTGTACATCTCAGGGCTAACTGGTAGGACTGTTTATCTGTGGAGTGCAGATTGTACTTTGCCTTGCTTGTCTTGTCTGCTCGCATTTAATACACTGCTGAAGCTACTTCCATTGTTTACTGTTATTTCGTTTAGTCTGATGCAGTCTTATCATCCTGCAAGTTATTCAATAACTTTTTATTATTTTTTTTTCTGCAAAGCTTATAGGCCATGGTATTTTCATGGATTGTAAAGTTTTAACTGATTGATTTAGCTGATTCAGCTATGTTTTCTTGTTGGATTAAAACAATAAGGACCTGGAATCACTTCCAGAATAAGAGAATGAAAAATCTTAAACCCACATCTTGAGTTGAATTATCCTAATTCCATGTCTGTGGAGTTGCCAATTCCAGTAAAACAGGGTACAATTATCTAACCCAATCCTGGCTAGGCTGGATAACAAGCGTACGCTGTAAAATTTAAAAGCCTTCATCAGTCTGAGCACTGAGCAACTCCAGAGCAAGGACAAACAACATGGATTTTTTTTATTTCTGCAAATAATAACATAACAATAATTATTTCGTCTACATACTAAGAATACATGTATATAAATAAATATACAGTGACACAGCCAAAGCAACAAGGGTGGGAGATGACAAAACAGGTGGCCCTTTTGAATGTTTTCAAGGTCAGTGTCTTGACCATATTAAATACTTATTATGCTGTAATTTCACATTTTTTTTTTTTTTTTTTTTTGCATATTCAAAAAGCAGTGAAGTTGTGTTAAATGTACTTTTTTGATGTACCATAGATTTTGCTGATAGATTTGGCATCTAGATAAATCTTTCTGGAGATACAGTGCATTGCACAAAATGTGCATACATGGAAAGGAAAAGACAGTGTGTCCCATTGAAGATGTGAGGTTTTAGAGGAGCTTGATCTGATAGGTTTTCCTCAATGCAAAGTGCAACGGATAAAAGCGATTCTCAGTAAGACAACCAAAAATCAGGGATTGCCAGTAAGACCAGAATCTTTTGTTTGCAATGTGCAAAAAAGCACAGGACATTTTCTCTGGCGTTAAGTCACGTTTCGATAATTATTAAACATCAGCTTCTGAAATACTGCAGGTGTAGTCAGGTTTAGTAGTAGCTTGTTATTTTCCAGAGTAGTTTCAGAAAGTATGTTGTCATGGTAACTGAACAAGATTTCATCTAATCTTTGTATGTGGAACTTTTGTGAAGTCACGTTATCTGGCTTACTGGAATGCACTGCTGGTGTGGAGGCACATTGCCAAGTTTTCTTTAATGAAAACAAAAAAACACCATCATTAGTTACTTAATAAGTACCTTATGTTAACAGTACCTGAGGTTTGTTTGAGCAGTAAAACCATGTTATTGTAGGGGTTATGGTATCGGTATCCAGGACTGTCTTGTAAGAATCAGTTCTTTAGATTGTAGGCTATAGTATTGAATATCCTCTAGTAAATATCGCCAGTCATTCTAGTACACTGCTGCCTGCACTGTTAGCTTGTGTCACTTATGCCGGCTAACATGCTGTTTGGTATTATAATAAGAACCTGCTGTTGTGGTTTCTAGTGCTAATTAAAGAGAACTAAAGGAACCACAACGGTGCTTTGAAGCCATACCACAAGCACAAACCTCATGCAGTGGAGTTATCGGATTTTTCTTTGTAGCTAAACCACATGTGCATTTTCTTTCTTTTTTTTTCTTTCCAGGCTTGAGCTACAGAGAACTGTACCTGTCAGTCCTATTTAACGATGCTCTTTCATTAAAGATGGGAGGCAGTGGATCCAAAGCTAAAGGAGTCTGGCCTTTCACTGGCTCAGGGGCTAGTGGAGATTGTCCTGAGGTCAATGATCAGTCTTTAGCCCGAATGTGTGGCTACAGAAATGCAACCCCGTTTGTCTTTACAAGGAAGAGGTAAATATTAATTAATTCACCATGACTTACAACTAGGACTGAAAGACTGTGATTTGTGTAATTAATGATTTGGGCATGAGATTGTGACACCTAATCTGATCAAGAATTATGATGTATTGTTACAAGAATTTATAGTATATTCTCATATAATAGATCTTGGAACATCAAGCTCTAGGTGTGCTCTAGGTTTTTTTTTTTTCCCCATAAAAACTGAGGTTGTGTTTTACTTAGACTGTTGAGGAGAATGATGTGGATTCACTAGATGCTGCTGTATGCTTGCAGCTCTCTGTATTACGATGAGGATGGAGATCTGGCTCACGAGTTCTACGAAGAGACAGTGGTTACTAAAAACGGGCGAAAGAAGGCTAAATTGAAGAGGATCCACAAGAACCTCATACCTCAGGTAGTATTGAAATTGATTATCAGTGGTTGTTTTCTAGAAATTGAATAGATATCTTTTCATTATTCAAATTTATTTCCCAAATTTGTGTTTGTCAGTGTTCTGACATTATCCTCCTTACATCTGCAATGTCTGCATCTCTCATGAAAAAAATTCAGTTTCTCATATACAATATATACACTGCTCAAAAAAAATTAAGGGAACACTTAAATCACACATTGGATCTCGATGAACGAAATATTCAAGTTGACAATCTTTACTTATAAACATTGTGTAATTTGTTGAGAACAAAATGATGTCACAGTGGTCAGTGGAAGCCAAAGTCATCAGCACATTGAGGGCTGGATTCAAAATCACACCGAAAATCAAAGTAAAAAATTGAAATTACAGGCTGATCAAACTTGAATGAATTTCATCACGGCAACTCATAATGAAAGTCAGTAGTGTGTATGGCCCCCACGTGCCTGCATGCTATTGATGAGATGGCAGATGGTGTCCTGGGGGACCTCCTCCCAGACCTGGATCAGGGCATCAGTGAGCTCGTGGACAGTCTGTGTGCTACATGGCGGCTTCAGATGCTCCGATACATAATGTCCCTGTGGTTCTCAATTGGATTCAGGTCTGGGGAACGTGAGGGCCAGTCAATGGCATCAATGCCTTCGACATCCAGAAACTACCTACACACTCTGGCCACAAGAGGCCGGGCATGCACCAGGAGGAACCCAGGGCCCACTGCACCAGTGTAAGGTCTGCCAATGGCTCTGAGGATTTCATCTCGGTACCTAACAGCAGTAAGGGTACTGTTGGCTAGCACGTGGAGGTCTGTGCGACCCTTCAAGGATATTCCTCCCCAGACCATCACTGACCCACTGCCAAACCGGTTATGCTGGATGATGTTGCAGGCAGCATAACGTTCCCATGGCATCTCATTACTCTTTCATGACTCTCACATATGCTCAGTGTAAACCTGCTCTCATCCATGAAGAGTACGGGGCGCCAGTGGTGGACCTGCCAATTCTGGTGTTCTCTGGCAAATGCCAATCGTGCTGCATGGTGCTGGTCCCACGAGTGGACATTGGGCCCTCATGCCACCCTCATGGAGTCTGTTTCTGACAGTTTGGTCAGAAACATACACACCAGTAGCCTGCTGGAGGTCATTTTGTAGGACCCTCACAGTGCTACTCCTGTTCCTCCTCGCACAAAGGAGCAGATACCGGTCCTGCTGCTGGGTTGTTGCCCTTCTACGGCACTGTCCAGCTCTCCTCATGTAACGGCCCTTCTCCTAGTATCTCCTCCATGCTCTTGAAACCGTGCTGGGAAACACACCAAACCTCCTTGCGACGGCACGTATGGATGTGCCATCCTGGAGGAGCTGGACTACCTGTGCAACCTGATTGGGTTGCAGGTATTGCCTCATAGTACAAGTAGTGACAAGAACCCTAACACGAAAACAAAACTAGAGACAAATCAGTCAGGAAGGATAAGGAGAGAGCAATTGTCTGTGGCCACCACCTGCAAAACCATTCCCTTTTTGGGGGTTGTCTTGCTGTTGCCTCTCCAGTGCACTTGTTCTCATTTTCATTTGCACCAAAGCAGGTGAAACTGATTCACAATCGCTTATGCTTCCTAACTGGGCAGATTGATATCCCTGAAGTTTAATTGACTTGGTGTTGTACTGTAATGATCAAGTGTTCCCTTATTTTTTTTGAGCATTGTATATGTGTATATATATTTATGTATGTATATATGTGTATGTGTGTGTGGGTGTTCCAAAATGAAAATTTTATTATAAATGCAAAAGTCAATGCCCAGATTTACTTTAAAATAAAAACTCTCTTGTGTTTCTTATTTCCAGGGGATTGTGAAACTGGATCATCCCCGAATCCATGTTGACTTCCCGGTCATTATTTGTGAAATATAAAACCACAGATATGAGACTAGGAGATGTTTCACCAATCAAACCTTTCACCTCTCCACTACAATCCTATCTTTGCTGATGGGCATTAGTGGCTCCCAGTATCATCATAGTTGTTTCATAGTGAGCCAGACTGCCCTCGTGTGGTTGGAGGGACCTGCAGCAGCTTTTTTTTTTTCTTTCTACTGAGGAAACCTCTCCATGTAAATTTTGAACAGCAGGTTGAATCGTAGGACTGTTTGTCTCCTTTTTGTGTACTGCTCATCAGTAAATTTATTCCTGTAAATAAAGGAATGAATATAGAGTACTGAAATGCAGGAATGCAGGGTTTATATTTTTGCTGACTGAGCATGGCATGTCTTTATTTTGCTGTGTTGTATATAACTGTTCTATGTTTGCCTTTGTTTGTTGTATTTAAGCCCAGACTTTCACAAATAATTATTTGATGTACAGTAATTTATGAAAGTTAAGATACTTTAATAAAAAATAAACTGGTATCAATTGTTGTAAATATGTTCTCTCTCTCTCTCTCTGTGTGTGTATGATAAAACAGATGACTAATTTAGTATTTTCACAAATGTCAGTTTACAACAGAATGTTTAATACATCAATACTAATAATTTTGTAATATG